AGGAATGAGAAGTAATGGGAGGTTGCGTGGAAAAATGAAGGAGGAGTGGGTGGTTGCTTGAGATAATGGAGAAGAAGAAATGGCCGTGGGGGAATTTGTGACGAATTTCAGGGAATTTTTTTTTTTTAAAAGGGGGATTTTTGACGACGATGGAAAATGGCGACACTTATGACCTTTGCTTTGCCTCTTTTAATATATGGTGAAGTGACATTCAATGTGTTAAATAATATTATTTATGCACTAGTTCCAAAAATACCAAAGTAACCCAAACTTTGTAGTGGTTTCTCTATGCACATCGCCAACGAAAAGATAATCAAACTACATACTAATTTTTTTCTTTTTCCTACTATTTATCGTTTGTTATTTTCTTCTCGTCCTATCATTACAAACAAAGAGATGATATATAGGACGATTGGTCTGCTTGAATGTTCATATAAGTACTTCATCTTTGAGCCAATTTCAATGGTACGAATTGTCACGATCGACTAAAAAGAGAGGTAAGGAGCCGAACTAGAGATTGTTCTTTTTCATTCTTGTTTCCTTTTCGTTTTCTCTTGTTCTTTACTTTCATTTTTCCTTTCCCTTTCTTCTCATTTTGGTGAAAACAAAATGTGGGGCTCCCCACATATTATTTTTTGGATTTTTTTTGTGTTTTTGTCGCAACAAACTTTTCACTCCGACATACTTTATAATAAAAGTGAGTCCATTCTACGGCATTAGCTCATTATTGGACTGATTTATTTGACCTAAAGATTGGTAAGAACTTTTCTTTTTTGTTTTAAGTGGATTATGATCCAAGTTTTAAACAAATTAAATATTTTTTCTTAACCTTTCATCACCTTGTGGAAATGTTTTTTTTTTTTCAAAATAAATTAATCAAAAATCATTTAAAAAGAAAATAGAAGATTAAATTTTTAAAGCTATAGGGACATGCGGAGGCGAAATCAGAAAATAATATTAGGATTGGCTAAAATTGTCACACCACGAGATCGAATTACATTCACGATAAAGAGTGCAATATTCAATGAAATGAAAGAAGTTTTGATGTTCTATTCCAAGATGTCTCACTAAATCTTCGTATCTTTTCTTACCAAATAGAAAATCGACTCTTACCTCAAGGAATATTAAGAATCATGATCGAAATAAGCAAATGATATATATCCACCAATGAAAAACTAAGAAATTACCTATTGAGTAGTGTTCTAAAGAATTTTAGCAAACAGTCTTTCCAAATAACTGAAAGTTTTGGCCAAAATATGAAGTCAAAATTACATCACTATATGTTATCGATCTTAAAAAATACTATTTGGTGTGTATCAAACTTCTATATCACCACATTCCATAGTGATTGAGGAATCACATTCAAAATGAAAAAAATCGACTTAGAATTTTGAGAGTCCAAAGAAATTGGATTTAATTCACGTTCATGTTTGGCTCATCTTTAAGAATATTCTTATAATAAAATTAATTTACGAATGAGTTAATTATAACAAATACATTTTTTATTAATAAAATCAAATTTAAAACAAGTTATTTACTTTGATGGGCTAGAGATGGGCTAACACAAATTTTTGAGCCAAGAAAATACATTTTGCTCTTAATTTTGTATAGGGAAAATTTCATAACTAAGAGGTTAAGTTTCACCCATTTCAAATTTAAGAGATAAGTTTTAAAATTTGAAATTTCAGATTTTTTAAGGTTTAAAATTCTTCTCTTCTTTTTCTTTTCTTTTTCTTGGTACTTTGAGGGCAAAATCAAGAGCACAACAAGGAGAATAAATCAAAGAAAAGGTGGAGAAGAAGTGGTGAAATCTAGATTCAAGCAAATCCATCAAAAACAGATAAATGTTTAAAAAAAAAAGCAGGCTACAAACCAAATTCTCACCAAAAAGGTGAGAATTAGTTTTCACCAAAAACATGGAAAGATAGGCCCGTGGCTGGAAACCAAGAAAATTATTAAACTAGAAAATGTTGTCAATCAAACCTGCATCTTTTGAAAAAGATGGAATTTAATTTCCAATTCCATGGAAAAAAGGTAGTATTAAACAGGGCCTAAGAGATTAAATTTCACCAATTTCAAATTTAAAAAAACTAAGTTTAAAATTTCAAATCTCAGATTTTTTTTTAAATTTTATTTATAAATTAATTAATTAAACATATATTTCATTAATTAAATATATTAAGGTTGCAATTCAATATAATATGGTCACAAATCACAAATTTTATATGTTATAAATAATTTTACAGTCACAATTCAAAAAATTTATATGTCATAATTTGTTCATCGGTTACAAATTAAAAATTGAAACATCACAAATTATTTTACGGTCACAATTTGTTCATCGATCACAAATCAGAAATTTTATAAGTCAAATTGTTTTACAGTCACAAATCAGAATTTTTATGGGTCACAAATTATTTTACGGTCACAATTCAGAAATTTTATAAGTCGCAATTTATTCATGGGTCACAAATAAAAAGATTTATACGTCACAATTTATTTATCGGCACAAATCACAAATATTATAAGTCACAACTTAGTATATTGTCAAATTATCTGTTACAATTTATAACAATTTTTTAGGTGATACATTATTTTTTGGTCACAATTTATATTTTTCATTGGTTACATATTATTTATTCGTCACAGATTAACCAATTAAATGGTCACAGTTAACCAAATAATTTGTGCCACAACCAACCTTCACGACACCACATCACTACTGCCTCAGCAGCACAATCGCAGTCGTCGCCGCCGCCAACACCACCTCACCAACACCGCCATTTGTGACCACGACCACCATCACAAATTCATCACCGTTACTTAACCACCATAACTAGCACCACCTTACCACCAACAAATCAAATCTACAACCGCCATCACCTCACAGCCATCTGTTGTCCTATCTTTGTCGCCACCATTTTCAAACCACCAAAGAAATCACCCAAAAACCATCGCCTATTCCCCTGTCTTCCATCACTTATTGCAACACCGCTGGCTACCATAATTTCACCATCACCTCTCTAAATCAACAAACAAACTACCAATAGCAACAACACATCATCTCCTTCACTGCCATTTTTTTGATCTCTCACCTCTCAGTGCGATTCGCCACCTCCGGCCACATCAACCTACATCAAGTGTCGTCGACACATCCTCAACCACAACCACAACCAGCTCACATATCATAACCACCACCACATATGCAGTGGAAGAGATACAACCACACGCCGTTGGATGGAGATCTCAGTTGTACCGTGCCGTCGCAGCTGCGGTGACAGTCCACTATGCACGGGGAAGAGAAAGAGAGGAGTGGAAGAGTTCGCAACGAGAGTTCTCTGTGTCTCCGACGACAGTCGTAGATCTCTGTGTCTCCAGAGAAGAGAGAGAGAGAGGGGCGGGGAAGATGGGGTGGGGAAGACAGAGAGAGAAGAGAGTGGGAAGTGGTAGAAAATTCTAGGGTTTAGAATGAAATTAATTAGGGTTTGGGATGAAAATTATATAATTTATATTAAAAATAAAATATCTAATTTTTGAAAACTGAAATCTTATATTTGAAATTTGAAATTAAATTTGAAAACTCTTGTTTTGTGTAATTTCCGCCCGCCCGCCCTAACACAATGTTTAACAAGATTAAATGGTATCAATAAACAAAATTTTAACTTATTTTCTCTCTTAATGTTTTCCTATTGATTTTGTTTTAATGTGATTAGGAAAAAATAAAAATAATCATTTATGAGGAGTGTGCAAGGAAATATATAAAAAATACAATTATATTTTTTCTTAATATAAAAATGCAATTCAGATTGGGAATTGGAATTATTTTTTTCTTTCCCTTTTAGAATGAAGTATGATGTTTGGTGTACAATATTGGTTGACAACATGCCACGTGTCATGTTGTCTTGAACAGTTTAAAAAATAACTTATTTTTTCAATCAACAGTTTTTTGTCACTTACAACTTGTCAATATTGTTGTCAACCAAAATTGAAAATTGGTTTGACTAACTTTTGACCAATTATTTTAGTGTCTCGTTAGTTAGACAAAATATTTCTTTAGTCAAGTGTGTTCTACTCCATGAGTAGATTAATGTAATTTATTTATTTTCTCAAAATCAATTTAGGGTGAATGAGAAATTAAGGTCAAAAGATGACTATTTGAAATTGATATAAATTGGGAATAAAAATTGGTGGAAAATTGAAAAATGACAATCCCACATAGGAAAATTAGATGAATCGATTCCACTTTATATTATTCAAATTTGGGACTTGAGTTTGGGCCCCAATGAGTATATATAGTCTTTGAAGGATGACATATATGCTAGTAGATTGAGTCAAAGCTTACACGCGTATCGTTGTTCGGCTAGCTCGGCACGAGTCTTGGGCTTGGACCAAGTTTGTATATATTTTTTGGTAAAATAATATTTGAATTATATTATTTAAAATAATAATAATAATATATTTATTTATATTATTGATTTTTCTTGAATTTTCTATATACTACACGTGGCTTCTTTTAGAAACTGACGGTTGACAGTTGAACTGCCTGTCCAAACGGGTTGCATCTGTTTAAGACACAACTTTTCGGCTACCTCCGCCGTAACACAATGTTTAACAAGATTAAATGGTATCAATAAACAAAATTTTAACTTATTTTCTCTCTTAATGTTTTCCTATTGATTTTGTTTTAATGTTATTAGAAAAAAATAAAAAATAAAAAAATCATTTATGATGAGTGTACAAGGGAATATAATAAAAATACAATTATATTTTTTCTTAATATAAAAATCCAGTTTAGATTGGGAATTGGAATTATTTTTTCATTTACCTTTTATAATCAAAATCAAGTATGATGCTTAATGTACAATGTTGGTTGACAACATGTCACGTGGCATGTTATTTTGGACCGTTTAAAAATATCTTATCTTTTAAATCAATATTTTTTTGTCACGTCAACTAACATTGTACACATGGCATGTTGTCTTGGACAGTTTAAAAAATATCTTATCTTTTTAATCAATAATTTTTTGTCAGGTCAACCAACATTGTACAAAATACAAATAGATTGATTATATAATCAAATAGACCTATCCAATTCAAATTGTACTTCGTGCTATCCTACCCTAACCGCTAAATGACACTAATGAATAATTATTTTACTAAAATAGATTCGTAAAATATTGGTATTATTCTAAATCTTGCAATTCAATGAATGTCGAGTTGCCAATTCCAACTTTGCTGACGGGCTTGTCACTAGTACTCACTGTCCTATTTGGAAGGTGATAGCTATTCCTTACCTGTCACATGTGCCCTTATCCCAACTCATGTCTATAGATTCTCTATGTATTGTCCCTATTATAAATACTGTAGATTGTTTGTTGATGAGTGTTACTTTTGCACGCTGTTTCATTCGTTTTGGAGATCAAGAAAGTAACATAAAGGAGGGAAAACAGAAGGGTGGTGGCTTTTTGAATTCTGAAGGAGTTACACTTTGAGGTGGTGCAGTGGCTATGGCAACAAAAGGGCTGGTGGTGTATTTGCTGACGGGCTTTTCCGCGGCGATTCTATCGGTTTATTTCTTCAAAAGCCATTCGAATGGAAGTTATGCAAAAGGGTCACTTTTTTCATCTTCAAACTCCAATCTCTATGGATCTGAATCCAAAGTTTGGCCTGTGAGTTATATATGCATGTATTTTTGTGGGTTCTTAATGCTTATATTCAATGTATACTTAAATAATGAAGTGTTCTAACTGCTAAATTGGGTAGAACTCGTCTTTAAAACCGATTAGTAATGAGAAGATACCAGAGTGTTTGTAAGCCTACAAATCCAGTTTTTGACACAGGGATTTGGGGCACAATTAGAGTCTTTAGATTTAGGGAACCAGTGGAGTAAGGCTGTCTTCTCTAATATCAAGATGTTAATTTTCTTGGTTATGGCAGGAATTGAAGTTTAGTTGGAGAGCTGTGTTGGCAACTGTGACAGGATTCTTGGGCTCAGCTTGTGGAACCGTAGGCGGAATAGGCGGAGGCGGCATTTTTGTCCCTATGCTTACTTTAATCGTGGGATTTGATACCAAGTCTGCTGCTGCTATTTCAAAATGTAAGAACTAAAATCTGTCTCCGAATCACTTGAAAATTTGAGGCATAAAACAACTATTTTGATTCAAGATTTGAGTTCTTGACATGAATTTCACTGTAGGTATGATAATGGGGGCTTCAGCATCATCAGTTTGGTACAATTTGAGAGTGCCTCATCCCTGCAGAGAAGTGCCAATTATTGACTATGATTTAGCCCTTCTCTTCCAGCCTATGCTCATGCTTGGCATTACCATTGGAGTATCTTTGAGTGTTGTCTTCCCTTATTGGCTCATCACTGTCTTAATTATTATTCTGTTCATCGGTATGCAATGTTACTACTTGAATTTACGGTTTCTTGAATGACTGAGAATGAAATACTTTCAATCTAAACTACTATGTTCATATGACAATAGGGACTTCTTCAAGGTCCCTTTTTAGGGCTACTGAGATGTGGAAAGAAGAGACTATTTTGAAGGTTAGTTCCTCAAATTTATGGCCCTACTACATATTCCTCAAATATGCTGCTAATTACTGTTTGTTTCTTCTCTTTGGATCATTGCAGAAAGCCATGGCAGAGGGGCAACAAACTTTTGTTAACTCTAATGGGGAACGTAAGTACATAAGAAACTTGTGCTATTCTTCATACAGCAAGGTTTTATTTTCTTTTTCTTTTTACTTTTTTTTTTGTGGTTTAGAATTGGGAGAAAGAATTGACCCTCTGTTTTTCTATATCAGTTCTTATTGATGTGGAGTACGAACCATTGGTCCCGAAAGAGGAGAAAACGGCTTTGGTAAACCATGTCTACCTTTCTTTACTCCTCTTCTATCTTCCATTTATCAATGTTGAAACATTATTCTTATTATTTTCAGCAAATTATGAGGGACAACATTAACATCAAGAGAATTCTGGTGCTACTAATCGTATGGATTTGTTTCTTGCTTCTTCAAGTGTTCAAGGCGAGTGAATTGCATTACTTTCCTTTCTAAACTTGTATGGCATGTTTGATAAGACAAATTGGACAGTCTAGGATGATATTCTTGTCCCTTCATGTCCAGTACTATATATCAAACAAACTAGTGACATAATGTTTTCGTATTTATGCTGATCTCTTAATATGAATGTTGGTCTGCAGAATGATTTGAGAGCTTGTACTCCATTGTACTGGGTGCTCAACTTGTTACAGGTACATTAACAGAGATAGGTTCGGGCACATTTTGCGGTCGATACCCTTGCCCATGAAACAAGTCCCAACATGTTTTTGTTCCTTTTTTTCAGTTCCCAGCTGCTTTTGCAGTGTTCTTTTATGAATGCATCAAACTGTATAAGGAAAGCAAGAGAAGGAGGCTAGCCGGTAATGCAGAATCAATATGTGAGGCTACTATTCAATGGACGGCTGCAAATCTAGCACTGTGTGCACTATGTGGTATCATAGGAGGCACTGTTGGTGGCCTGTTAGGGTCCGGTGGTGGTTTCGTTCTTGGTCCTCTCCTCCTTGAGATCGGTGTCATCCCTCAGGTATTACCGCTTTTCATCTAATGTACATGTTTTTAGCATGAATATTCTGCAATGGTACAGAGGGTCGGAGATTTTATTTTGCATGTCATGTTGATAATGTGTTATACAGTAGTGTACTATAACGTCCACGCGTATTGCAGGTTGCTAGTGCGACAGCAACTTTTGTGATGGTGTTCTCATCCTCATTATCTGTAGTCGAATTCTATCTACTCAAAAGATTTCCCATTCCTTATGGTATATTTTTTTGTACATTTTCCTTTCATTTTCGCTCTCTCTTTCTACATTGGCTTAGGAGTAACAGTCGATCCAAAATTCTTTTGGCAGCTTTATACCTCATGTCTGTTTCGATTTTAGCCGGTTTTTGGGGACAATTCATCATAAGAAAGCTTATCGCCATCCTAAAACGGAGTTCAATCATCGTGTTTATCCTCTCTGGTGTCATTTTCGCCAGCGCTCTGACTATGGGTAAGTACAACGTTACTTCAAGAATTCCATTCTAGGCATAATGTTACGAAATATTTAGCTCCATCTTGACTGAGTTCTTTTTTTTTTTTTTTT